ACATAAACCTGAACTGCTTCGCATTTTTAGTTTTCATGTAATACTACATTTTTTCCCACAACCACACATTTTCACAAAAATGCCTGCTTCTCAAAAATTGTACGTATAGGAGCAAAATGGTTTGCAGATTCGTAATCAATAAACAAAAGCTTATAAGAATCACGTAATGGATATTGCAGATCACAGAAAAAGTTAAAATTTGTTGGACTGTGTTATCTTAACCTAAACTAAACGTATTCGCATGACTAAGCTTAACACTAGAAATCATCCACTATCCTACAGTAGTCATAGGAATCTGTTCGGGGTAAACCATGTTTCCTGGATGGCTGCCACTCCTTGTTATTGATGAGAAATGATTCAAGTTCGAGGATTTTGTTAGATGTGGAACTGGCGTTCCATGTCATGAAATTTTCTATTGTTAGTGTAATGGTTCATTATCTAAAGAGAGTATGTGTAGTTTTAGATACTACTTCGAACTTTTCTATGGGATTGGTGGTAGTAGATAGCTTGGTATGAATCGAAGAGTTCGGAAATCTCGTACCAGAGGTTGGAGAATTCCTGCATTTCGATTAACTGGGGAGTTAAGGTAGTGGGTAAAGTTGAGGGTTTAGATTGGGGAAATTTTAGGGTTTCGCTATAGAGTTTGCCCTGGGTAGAGGGTTTCTTGAGTATGGGTGGTAAGGTAGAGGGAGGGGAGTGATGGTGAAGGGTTGGTGAGGTTCTTTTTAGAAAGATAGAAGAGAAGCCTGGAACACAGAGAGTAGTTCGCTGTTTGGTTCCCATGGCAATCAGTAAAAGTGGGAGGAGTTTCAATGATTTTGGTGCAATCTTTGGTAGGGTGTCCGTTTCCGTATTTGACACATTTAAGGGTTTTATTACAATTGGCAGACGAGTGGCTAAAAGTTTGGCAGCGATAAAATTGAGAATATGGCAATTTACTATTAAACTTCTCCCAATAAATTGTACAGTAAAAGAGGAATCCTAATTTTCTTACTTGGGAGAGAGATGTACCTAGTATGAAGGTGATTTTGTAGATTGTGAAATTATTGTTGGATTTAATAGGGGTGCAATTGGTTGCTTGAAGTTCATCAAGATGGCATCGGGAGTGAGGTTAGGGAGGCCTTTAAGGACCGTGGTTAAGGATTTCTCAGATGATAGTGAATAAATGTGGAATTTTAAATTGGCATTTAAGAAGGCTATTTTGGCCATAATAGAAGGTTCGAGATCCAGGAATTGGACACGCACTTGATTTCCTAAGAACTTGAGCTGGAATCTGTCGCTCACTATGGAGTGGAAGTTACAGCTAAAGGATATTAGTTCGGTTGCTGCCAGTTTGATATAGAGCGGAGGTGGTCGGGAGCCCTTTGGATAGTTTTGATTTTGAATAGAATTTTTTTATTGTAAGGATAGTGAGGTTAGGTTTTGAGACGGTTCGGGGACTGGATCCGGGGAATGATGTGAGATTGGTTTAATTAACGTCGATTTTGAGTTTCTTATTAGGGGAAGACATGATCGTGGTAAATTTGGTGGACTCACCTTGCCGTAGGTTGCATGGGCTGTTAGCACGTGCGTAGTTTTCACTGGATGGGTCCGGCAGGAAGTGAGGTGCATTTGCTGCTATCGAGGCTCCTGTTCCGGGGGTTTCCGGAGAAAGAGGCAGGGTGGTGATAAACGCGATACATTTTGATGGCACGTTTCCTGGTGATAGTTATCTCCTTTTCGAACTCCAGTTGGCCGCCTGGTGTTTGGTTGTATAGGTTAGGTGTGGCGGAGGTAGAGAGTGCGTTCACCCATAGAGTACCCACGACTGAATCGTCGACTGTTAATGTAATTGAATGGCACAGAGTGCCAGAGAGAATATCGTTGACTGCGGGACTGAATTGACAGGGGGTGAAGTAAAGTGACACAGAGTTCACTTTATAACTAAAGTAAAGTGTTCACAGAATGCGTCACAGAGTGCAGATTCAAAAATGTGGCTTTTACTCTGCTCGTTCGTCAAAATTATGTACTTCTTGTACTCAACGGCGGATCATGGAGAAATTGTGTTATATAACTCCTTTGTCTGACACGATGCTTCGTACCAAGGTGCACTGATTTCGAGTTCCTCCAAATCGGTTGGGGCGCTACATAATTTATAAATTATATTACTTTAAAAACCATTTGGTCATGTTTAATGCTGTTAAGAACATTAAAACTCACAAAACATAGAAAATCTATGTTTTTTGACAACCACCTATATCTATGTATAATCATTGAAGTAACTAGGGGACTAGATTCCTTAGTTTTACTCGCGATGTAAAGATATAAAGTGCAATCTTACGCACCTTTCCTAAAATTCTTTATACTGGATTGTCAGCCAATAAGGTAGTTGCATAAAAAACCGCTAAAGGGTATAGCCGGATAAGATGGTCAAAAGTGCCCCCAAACCAAATTCGACTTGCAATGGCTCATTCCATAGCTTATCAAAAAAAACCACTCTGTGCCAAGTTTCAACCCTGTATCTCATCTGGGAGGGTAGTTACGGATAAAAATGTAATTGCGAGGTTTTTGGCCAATTTTTCCGCTTTAATGACATTAATATCCCACTTGGGGGGATCTCCCTTGACGAACCGAGCCCCTCGATGAGAAAACCGTGTAATATGATCCGACCGTAATATCGGTGTGACTAATACTAATTGAACGATAAAACTTTTTTATTTTTAACTTTTTCTTAATGAAACTTTTACTAACGCATTTGTGAGATTTTTCTTATTAAAATGACACCAAACATGATATAGTTTGAATTATATGTATAAACAATAGTAATAGAATAAACAACATAGAATTGACACCACGACTGAATATAAATGATGTCGGCTGAATACAAAAGATGTGTACGGACACAGAATCGGCACGTTGGCTGAATACTAAACATGTGTACGGACACAGAATCGGCTTGTCGGCTGAATACAAAACATGTGTACGGACGCAGAATCGACACCTCGCTTGGATAAACACAACATTAAATGCCCAGAATCGACACCTCGCTTGGATAAATGCAACATTAAATGCCCAGAATCGACACCTCGCTTGGATAAATGCAACATTAAGTGCCCAGAATCGCCACCTTGCCTGGATAAATGAAACCTTTGAAACCAGAGCCGACACCGCGACTGGTTTTGATTTCGATCTCTGTTGCTTTTCGCCAACCTTTAACATCAATTTTAGCAAGTAATTATAATTGAAACTATATCGTGTTTGGTACCATTTTAATCAGAAAAATTTCATCAATGCGTTAGTAAAAGTTTCAATAAAAAAAGTCAAAAATAAAAAAGTTTTATAGTTGAATTAGTATTAGTCACAGCGATACGTTTCGGCTCTTTCCTTTCATCATCGGACCTCTCTCTTTCCGCCACTGTCTGTCCCTTTCTACGTTCACGCTTGGCTGGTCGTCGCGTGTAACCCGAGATTCGACACCTCGCTTGGATAAATGCAACCACTGGGTCCCAATCTTGGTTGCATTTATCCAGGTTTTACTGTAATTTGTATATTTTATACTAATTGGTAACGTACGTAGTATTTTGACAGAATATAGGATATAAATATTTTCAAGTTACTCTAGCATTTCTCAAAATTCAGATATCCGTGTAATCTTCCTTAAATTTTCATCATTAACAAGTATCCTCTTATCAGGATAATAGTGATAAATAAAAATAAAGAAGTATATTTCATTATAAATATTTTATTAAAATTTAAAGATACATGTAAATGAAATCAAATACATATAATTAATTTTTAATACAGCACAATTTATGATTTAAAAAATAGTAATAAAAAAGTAATAATTATAAGAAAAGTAATTAATTTTTAATAGAGCAATATTTATGATTTACAAAATAGTAATAAAAAAGTAATAATTATAAGAAAAGTAATTATATAAATTATTAGTATTGGTATGATATAATTAAAACTTATAGACTCGTAGTGTATAGTAGCGAGTATGGTAGGTTTTTCTAGGAAAAATGGCGCTCTAGGAGAAACAGGTCCTGCCACTCGCGTGTAAACATTTATTCGTGAAAATATTATAATTAACGCTTAACTGGTAAGCTGGAATTTGATATGCTCCAATTATTGTATTTATCCAATTGGATCAAAATATAAGTATTCAGAAAATGCAAATACATAAATAATAAATAAACTTTATAAGCACAGAATGTTCTATAAAAGAAAGTTAAACAGACATTTGGCTGCTGTTTGTTTAAAACTTTTGTTGTATCTGAAAAACCACCTCTTCAGTTAACACACGTGTATCATACGAAAGAAAGAAAAATATGCCCTTATAACTAACTTTTTTCAATATACATTTGCAGTGTGAATGTGCGTATACATATGTATAATATGCACGACTATATACAATATATGTGTGATGAAGGGTTAATATTTTTCTAAACTTCAAAAATTTTCATTCTTAAGATTTTAAAATTTTTAAATTTGATTTTTTAAATTTTCAAATCTTAATACATTGAAATTTAATGTGTATATTAAATTTTACAATTTTATAACATTTGATAATTAAAAATTATATTGATAGTAATATTTTCAAGCTTAGAATTTCGGGAATTATTATTTTTTGATTAGTTACTCATACATTATAGGGTTTTATAACGAGTGGTGGAGTTCCCCTTTCCTACATCGCCATTTTTCTTAGAGAAACCTATCACGCTCGGTACTATATGTTCGTATACGAAGTTGAACGAAGATTCACGAATGGTCTCCAGCGAATTTTGAAACTGTTCAAGTTGTCATAATTTGTGTAAGAGAATTCGTACATTAACTATAATTTATTGAGAAATATACACATGTTTGAAATAATTCTTCTTTTCTTTTCCAATAATGATTCCATGAGTTACTGATTCTCAAATTAATAATGATTGCACGTGTACTATATATTGAAGAACACTGGATTAATTGTATCAGACACTGTAATGGTATCAAATTATATCTCATTTTTGTATGTGCAGGGTGATCTGGGTGCTATAGATGCAAAGTATGATGTAGCAATTTCAACAGCATGTGGTCCATTAGACAATATAGTAGTAGATACTGTAGATACTGCCCAAAAATGTATAACATTTCTACGTCAGAATGATATAGGGCGAGCAACCTTTATTCCTTTAGAAAAACAGCAGCATTTACTACCAAGATGTAAACAAAAAATACAAACTCCTGAAAATGTTTCAAGATTGTTTGACCTGATACGTATTGACGATGAGAGAATATTACCTGCATTTTACTACAGTCTGCAAGATACATTAGTAGCAAATGATTTAGACGAGGCAACGCGAATTGCGTATGGCCGGCAGCGTTTCAGAGTAGTCACGCTAAAAGGCGAATTAATAGAATTATCTGGAACGATGAGTGGGGGCGGAAGGTCAGCCATGAAAGGCAGAATGGGGCATAAACTAGTGAGGAACGAACTATCCTCTGTTGACATTGAAAGGTTGCAAACAGATTTAAACAAAGCCAATGAGAAGTGCAATGAGCTTAGAGCTAGATCTCAGGTTTTAGAACAGCAGATTCATACTCTAAATGTGAATTTAAGGAATATGAAGATCAGTGAAGGAAAGTTAGAGATTGAAGTAAAGGCGCTTGAGGAACAGAAACCATCATTACTAACGCAGATCAAAATTCAGGAAAAGAAGGTTAAGGATTCAGTATCGAACCCTAAAAAAGTTGCGGAGTTACAGAAAACGATGAAGGCTACTAAAAAGCATTTCGAAAAGGTGAAAGAAAATTCAAACACTCTTGAGAGAGAAGTAAAAAGTATCAATACCAAAATAGAAGAATTATCAGGGGTCAGGGTGAAAAATCAGCAGAAAAAGATAGCTGATTTAAATAAATTAATTGATACGACTAAAGGCGAAATCTGTAGATTACAAGTCGCGATTAAAACTGCGGAGAGAAATGTAAAGAAACTTGAGCAGCGAATAGAGAGTTTAGAGAATGATGTGCATACCTCTGAACAAAGATTGCGTGAGATTGAAAAAGAAAAACAGGAATTAGAGAAACAAGGAAAAGAGTATTTGAAAGAACTCGATGAATTTACAGAGCAGTTGGCAGAAAGAGATGAATTTACGTCATCCCTAAAAGAAGAATTAAACGTTTTACAAACCACAGAAAATAAAATGAAAGCAGTTAAAATAGATTTGGATCAAAAATTAAAAGAATGCAAGAGTGTGATCAAAGAGTTAATGCAAAGAATTCCAGATTTAACAAGAAGAATATCTGCATTAAAACTTCAAGCAATACCTGGGGAAAGTCTGGAAGAATTAAAAGAATTGACAGAGAAAGAATTTGATGAAACAGATGAGAAAGTTATTTCGAATAATTTACACAGAATGAAGAAGAGGTTGCCCACAGAAATTCCAAATATGCAATTAATTCATGAGTACAGAGAAAAGGATGAATTGTATTTGAAGCGTGCAGCAGAGTTAGAAAAAATAACAGCTGAGCGTAACAGGATAAGAGATATTTATGAAACAGCCAGACGGCGTAGAATTGAAGAGTTCCTTGCAGGTTTTTCTGTTATTACAGACAAGTTAAAGGAAATGTATCAGATGATTACATTAGGAGGTGATGCAGAATTGGAATTGGTTGATTCATTGGATCCATTTAGTGAAGGAATTGCTTTCAGCGTAAGACCACCTAAAAAATCTTGGAAAAATATTTGTAATCTCAGTGGAGGAGAAAAAACCTTGAGTTCTTTAGCTCTTGTGTTTGCACTGCATCATTATAAGCCAACGCCTTTGTATTTTATGGATGAAATAGATGCTGCATTGGATTTCAAGAATGTTTCAATCGTTGGAAATTATATAAAAGAAAGAACAAAGAATGCACAGTTTATTGTTATATCTTTACGATCAAATATGTTTGAGTTGGCTGATTTCCTTGTTGGTATATATAAAACGTACAATATTACAAAGAGCGTAACTGTTGATCTACAAAAATATTACGAAAAGAATGGAATTGCTCCTCCAACGCAAATTACTTCTAAAAGTATGTATCCATCGCAGATGCAAAAATTCTCTGTGCATAGTCAACAAAGTAAGTCTGGCTGTACAATACAGAGTACAAATAATGTACAAACTATAGATAAAATTCAGGAAACAAATGAAAATAATTCGCTTGGGTAAGTTAAATGAACTTCTTAAAATAGGTGTATTTAATTTATGAAAAGAATATTGTATTTTGAAAAAAAATATAGTTTTAAACAAAAAGTATTATTCTATTCTAGAAATTTATTTAAAAGGTTATACAGGGTCTACCATCTATCTCGCAACCCATGCGCGCGCAAAATGATGAAAATGGCAACAGCGCTAAACTTCGAGAGATGTAAAAACCGTACAGTTAAATTGGTAATCAACTGAACTGTGGTCCGAGATTCGATTCAGGATACAAGTACATTGGGTTTCATCGAACTTGTCGTGGCGTGTGACTCTAACACATATTCACAACGGCAGTCAATTGGCTGCAATCTCTCCTTCGCGTGCCCCTCGCCAATCGGCTCTCCGGCGTGAATATGTGTTAGTTTCACACGCCGCGACAAGTTCGATGAAACTCGGTGTACTCGTATCCCGAATCAATTACCAACTTTTACATCTCTAGAATTTTTGCGCTGTTGCCATTTTTATCAATTTGCGCGCTCATGGGTTGCGAGATAAATGGTAGACTCTGTATGATACCGAAAAATTTTAACATTATATACAGTAAAATTTATAGTTACAAATGTTTAAATGATGTTAAAATCTTATAGTATATTATTTCATATAGCAAGTTTGCAACAATATTAGATGAACTTGTAGAAGAGCTACCCTCCCTCTGATTTCTATGATTTTTAAATATGTTGTAAAATATGACAACATAAGCTACTTTTTTTCTCTAAGCTATGTATATGTCGGACTCTATTAGTTGGCGAGATATTTGTGAAAGAATATTGTTACTACTCAGCGAATTCTGGCTATATGTATGCGCACGCGGCCGTGTGCGCCGCACAGTGGGACAAAACGGCTTTCGGCGATCAAAATTCTGTAACTTCGGTTCTATTGGAAATATTTTAATGAAATTTTGGGAAGTCTTTTCCTATATTATGGTACTTAAGTTGTACCAATATAAATCATATTGAACTACAGGGTGTCAAAATATTCACGTATAAAGTATAACGCGTTCAATATCCTTCACTTGTAAGACATATTTTATGTCATTTAACAAAAATTTGACTCAGAACTATTAATAACTATAATAGGAACGGATTTAATAATTAAAAAATGACAAGACATGTGTTATTATAATATATTTATTTATATTTATTATGATCTATACCAAATCATTCGTGAAAATAGTTTCGACAATTATGAAAATTTATTATGGCATATTGCAAGGCCGAAATAAAGTTTTGGGTAACGAATATACACGTCGAATGCAGTTAACTGGATAATAATCGTATCTGGTACTGCTTTTCCATCATCGTGCGCTGCGGCCAAGATGGGTATAATTTATTTCAATCGTCATTTTTTTGAGCAGTGGCAGGTTGGGGCAGCCGTTTTTTTCTGATTCTGATAGAGGAAGGTTCACTCTTTACTACAGTAATAATGAAACCCCGCACAAGTGCACACATTTTTTTAAAATCAAACGCAAAGTTGAGATTTTAGTTAAATGTACTTCGTTTCAATCAGATCCTATTATTTAAAAAGTTGTTAACATTTTAACTTACTTTATGTACTGAATAGAATCTATACTATCCTAGTAAACTTTATCATTCATTTGAATTGTATCTTTCTGAGTAAAATTCATTAGAATCGTACATTGAAGTTATGGGTAATATTATCAGCGTTTCATCTTGACGAATTTCTACTGACTTTGAGTGCGAACCACGGCAAAACGGAAAGAAATATGAAAAAACGGATTACACTACGTTAAACTACAGTTTATTCTCTATTGATGTATGTAATTAGTTTTTCAATTTTCGAATTCACGAAAATCAACTTTTGATCGCCGAAAGCCGTTTTGTCCCACTGTGCGCCGGCTCGCTTGCCTACCGTTTCTATAAAGCTGGGTACAGACGAACGCGCCGCGGTTTTCAACACGCATTCGCCATCAGTTCATTGTTTTCGGTACCTGGGCTCGAACGCGGCAAACCCGCAGAAAACCGTCCACACTGCGGCACGGAATCCCTTTGTGTTCGCGGAAAAGATCGACAAAAATTGGTTCGTTGTGCGGCATTACGGTATTGCCGCGTGACATGTTCGCGCTACCGTTCAAACAAACAAATATTCGTCCAAATATGTTCGTTCCATGCCGCGTTGCGCTCGTCTGTGCCCAGCTTAAACATCACCATTTGGTCGGGCTCCTAGTTATGCTACGGGTGAACGAAAAATTCAAATTACAACATGTGACTCGCGTAGCTGGCCTAAAGGCGATCGGAATTTTAGAGTAACCTTTTTTTTTTTTCGTGGGGGAAATCTTCTATAAGACACCTCCCCCCGGGGAGGGGCCGGGGGTAGTGCAGGATTCTTACCTGCCAAAACCCCCACGGTGGCCTGCACTGGGCTTGAGGAAGGGCCCCGGGACCTCTGACGAACACTCCGTGACCCCCTCACCCTTGGCGCGTTTGCGTCCCATCTCGGGGGAGGGTCTAACCTTTGATCCTCCCCCTACGTGCCAACTCCGCCAATGCCGGAGGTCGCGCCCGACGCCGGCTACTCCTCGGTTCGTGTGCACTGGGGACCGGGGCCCCAGCCCCGACCACCTGTGGCCCAGAGGCTCCATGGGCAAGCCCCTTCCCTCCCCCTTCGGCCTATCACCCTGGGGGAGGCCGGAGCCTCCCTCCACTACATCTTCCTTGGGGAGGAGCCGAAGCTCCCCCCTAATCCTGTTGGGGGCGGTGGGTAGAGTTATCAAGGCCCACCACCCCGTCCTTCTCAGCTAAAGGCGCCGTCGAGGGGCCTCCACCGACGCATCTCCTCCTTCAGGGCGATGACCTCCTCACAGAAGGAGGTCATCGCCCGCCACTGATCCTCGCCGGCGAGCATGTTTCTCACAACGCTCGCCAGCGAGAGATCCACTCCTAACTCGCACTGGAGGGCGTGACGGGCCCGCGCGAATACTGGACAGTGCTCCAGTGTGTGTTGCGCGGAGTCCCGCCCCTCCCCGCAGTGGTGGTTTACAGCCGTCGCCTCGCGATCGAGCCGGCACAGGAAGTCACTGAAGCAACCGTGCCCGGTGAGCACCTGCGTGGTCCGGTAGATGATCCTGCCGAAGCCGCGGTCCCGCCATTCTTTGATGACCGGCCAGGGTAACCTAACCTAACCTAACTTAGACATACATAAATAACAGAAAAAATAAAATATCGCTAACGGCAGACAATCTTGTTGTGTACAATAATTAATACCAATGTTGACGGAATATAATCTTTTTCGTTACTTATATGCCTAGAGTAGGTTAGGTTAAATTCCTGCCGCCTTTAGCCGGCCACGCAAGTCCAATGTCAAAATTATTGAAATTAATAGTTAACTTTGATTTTAAGTTGACCCGTTATATGGAAGGTAGCCGGGCCATGTGGTGCTATTGACAGAAACAGTAGATAAGCGAGGGTCGCTTGCCGACGCACACACAGCCGCGGACGTATATGTAAGTACATACAGACGAAATTCAATGTTGTAGTACAGTAAAAGCTGGATATATGCAACAAAAGTTTGGCTGGATATATGCAACATCGCTATCCCCTCCACGTTGGGAATCCCCCTAAGCCAAACCGAGCCGCTTGGCGAGGAAACCGTGTAATATGATCCGATCGTAATATCGGTGTGACTAATACTAATTGAACGATAAAACTTTTTTATTTTTAACTTTTTCTTAATGAAACTTTTACTAACGCATTTGTGAGATTTTTCGAACACGATATAGTTTTAATTATATTCATTTATTTATTTATTCTGAATATGCTGCAAATTAGGTGCTTTATGATGTTAGGAACAGCCCGTGATTTCCATGAAAGCGGACAGTTTCTTCCTATTGAAAATTAAAGTAATTTATAAGCTAACAGTAATAACAGAATGATAATAGAATAAATAAACAATAATAATAGAATAAACAACATAGAATTGACACCTCGGCTACATATGTTATTTATCCGACTTCGAAAAGGAGGAGGATACTCAATTCGGTGTGTATGTATTTTTTTATTTTTTATTTTTTTTTTTTTTTTTTATGTATGTTCACCGATTACGCCGAGACGGATGGACCAATCGGAACGAAACATTTTGCATCTTGTAGAGTATGTCTCCCGATTGGTCCCGTTAAAAAAACATTTTGCATTTTTTCATTGTTAACGATTTTTTTGCAAAAAACGTAATGCTTGACTTATATTTTTCACCGATTACCGTGAGACGGATGGACCAATCGAATACAAAATTTTGCATCTTGTAGAGTATATTTCCAGATTGGTCTCGCAAAAAAATATTTGTATTTTTTCATTCCTAACGACTTATGTCGCAAAAAACGTAATACTTCATTTATGTCTTCTGGCGTTTATGCTGCAAGGAATGTACCGATTGTGATGAAACCTTTCACATTTAGTAGGAGGTATGTGCGCGATGATCTCACTTGCAAAAATGTATTGAATTTGTTAATAACTACTATTATAGCAAAAAATCTACGCCTTCATGTTACTCTGCAAGGAATGTATCGTTCACGATGAAACCTTTCATATTTAGTAGGAATTACAGGGTGTCAGGCGACTACCTCGACAGCCGTAGAGGGACGATTGCTAAGGGGATTCTAAACAACTTTTTCCTTTGCCAAATTGTTGGTTAAGGCTTGGTTTGCGAGTTAATAACAAAAAACACCGACCAATCCGAGCGCGGATAGAGCGCAGTCCCAGGGACTGCAGTGTCGGGTACGAAAACCGGGCTTGACGTTGGTCGCGAACGAACGGCTTGGCACCCCGTTGGCATAGCACAATAAAAAAACTGAACTGGTAGAACATTTTTAGTCGCTGTTTAGAATGAATATGGAACCTAATCTCTTATTGCCTGTCATAATGTAAAAAAGGAAATTCTAAGGATTTTAAACAACAAATAAAAATGTTTGAATTGGTATAATTAATAAACGTTTGAATTAAAGGTTACACTA